CAAAGAAAATGTGATTTATATATAATGCAGTACCATAAAAAAGGGATAAACTTGTTAGCCAAGCATGGTGGCGCACACCTGTAATCCCAGCACTCAGAAGGCTGAGGCAGGAGGATCGCTGTGGGTTCGAGACCAGCCTGGGCTACATAGTGAGTTCCAGCTCAGTCTCAACTACATAGTGAGACCCTGTCTCAAAAACCAAAACCAAAACAAAACAAAAAAAGGGATAAACTTGAGACATTTGTAGGAAAATGGATGCACCTGGAGACTATAATCTTAAATGAAATCAATCAGACACAGAAGTTTATAGACTGCATTTTTCTCTTGTGTGAGAAACACAAAGAGTAAATAAGGAGCAAAATGGAGTACAGATATTGAGAAGTAGGAAGGATATGTTCAAAGAGGAAGGGGAACAGGAGGGAAGAGGAAGGGAAAAGGGAAAAAAAGGAATGGAAGAAAAAATTGTAAACAAAGCTTTTGTAAACAGGGAGGGGAAGAAAGGTTGAAAGGAGGAGAGGAGAATGGGAAAGAGAAAGACAAGATTTATTACGTACACATACAAATTTCCTGTGATGAATGTGATCATTTTGATCCCTGGTACAAAAAAAAAAGAAAAGAAAAGAAACAGACACCAGAGAGCAGTATCAGACATAAACTAGAAGGCAAACAAGAAAAAACACTGTGGTGTACAGAGAATCACACCTCCAAACACAACAGAGTAAGTTATGAAATTGCAAAGAAATCCACTAACAAAAAGGAAAATAAAAGATAATAGGAAATAGAGGGTAGATCTTTTGCAAAATGGAAGGGGACAGAGGGATGGAAGAGGGAAGTGGCGGAGGGGATGAAAAAGAATTGAGATGTGTTATGTATGTGTACTAATTCCACACAAGAAATGTAAATGCTGTGTACCGTAAACGTGTTCTAGTAAAAGGTAAAAAATTTTCAAAATTACAAATCTCAAAAGAAACTGAAGAGAACACAAAAACTGGAAAGACCTCTATAATGCATATGAATTGTAAGAATACTATTAAAGTTGCTTCTCGACCTTTTGGTTAAGATCAAATGTGGAAGAACACTGTTAAAATATTAAATCAAAAGCAATCTACAGATTTGCTGCAATCCTACCAAATTACCAGTGACATTCTTCATGGAAATTAAAAACAACATTCCTAAAATTTGTATGGAACTCCAAAAGGCCCCCAACAGCCAAAGTAATACTGAGCAAAAACAATAAAGCTGGAGGCATAACATACTTGAGTTTACTGACATGGCCAAAAGTCCCTAATTGTGACAAAGGCATCAAGAAACATACACTGGACTTAGAACAGCCTCTTTAGTAATCAATGTAGGGCCTAAACTATGAAACTTCTAAAAGAAAACACTGGGCAAATGCTTCAGGATATTGGTCTTGGCAAAGATTTTTCGATATGTCCTAAAGCACAGGCAACAAATCCAGGAACTGACAGTGGAGATTAAATCAAACCAAAAAACATTTATAAAGCAAAGGAAATAATCAACAGTTATGAAGACACTCTTCATAAAATATTCATCAAAGAAGGGATTAATTTCCAGAATATATAAGGACCTTAGACAACTCAATAACAAAAAATACCCAAGTAATCCAATGAGGTAGCAACTCAACCCAGTAGAAAGGCTATTTTTTAAAAAGAAAAAAAATGCTAGTGAGAATGCATAGTAAGGGGAACTCTCACACACTATTGATGGAACTGTCAATTAAAAGACAATATGAAAGACAGGATGAAAGTTTATTAAAAAACTAGAAATAAACCAGTCATAACGACACACATCTGTAATCCCAGCACTCTGGAAGGCAGAGCCAACAAGACCACAAGCCTGGGCAAATTAGCAAGATCTTGACTCAAAAGGGCAGGCAATGTAGCCCATTGTGAAAACCCCACTAAGGAAAAAAGAGAAAGGAAGAAACCTAGAGACATCTGCACTTGCATGTTATTGCAGTCTTGCTCCCCAAAACAAGACATGGAGTCTACCTAGATATTCTTCTCCAGAAGTGTGGACAAAGAAAACTGTGGTAAATATATACAGTAAAATATTCAACCATGAAAAATAAATAAAAACCCTACCATTTGTAGTAGAATGATAGAAGTGCAGGACATTGTGTAAAATAAAATAATTCAGATACAAAAAAATACTGCCTGTCCTCACTTATACGTAGCTATAAGAGACAGAACAGCATCTGTCCTCTGATAGGGGAGGGGTAGGGAGGGATGAAGAGAGGATGGTCCATCATTACAAGATGCAGCTGGACAGGAGAAATAACTCTGGTGTTCTACAGCACCACAGGGAAACTATAATTAATACAATTAATTAAATAGGATTTCAAATGTTCTCAATACAAAGAAATAGTAGATTCCTGAGGTGACAAACCAGCCATCCGATATTACCAACACACTTTTTGCACATGCATGGAAACATCAGAGAGTACCCATAAACATTTGCAGTTACTATGTGTCAATTAAAGATAGAAACAATTCTTAAGAAAGTACTTAAACAATTAGAATTAAACCAAATTCTGGGCACAATATAAACACTGAAGGAAACATACCCAGATACTGGGGAGGGGAGAGAGGGTCTGGGCATGGGTAAACCCTTATCTTCTACACAGGCAATGTGTAAATACTGAAAACTGGCCCCACCCAGGACTCCCCACCACCAGCCGATAGGGTTAGTCAGGATTAGGGTTAGTGATTAAAGAGGATATAAGAAAATGGAAAGACATCCCGTGTTTCTTAGTAGGAAAAATCAAGACAGTGAAAATGTCCATACTTCCAAAACCGCTATACAGATTCTACGCAATCCATATTGAAATCCCAACAGTATATTTCATGGAACTAGAGAAAACAATCCAAAAATTCATTTGAAATCAAAAGAGACCTAGAATAGCAAAAGCAATTCTAGGCAGCAGAGACATGGCTGGGGGTATCACAATCCCCAACTTGAAACTTTACTAAAAA